CGTCACGCGTGTTCTGAAAGCAACCGGGGGTGGGGGGTACCACAAGTTCTGTCCACGAAGGTTGTTGACTGTTCTTAGGACAGAAGTGGAATGAGACTGTAAGGAGGGAGCGAAGGACAAGGGTGAGAGCCTAGAGAGATACTCCGAGTCGCCGTTAGCTCCGGCAGCAGGGGGAGGGACGTGCGCATTCGAGGCGTCCAAGAGAAGCTGTGAGAGGTAGAGCATGGCCGAGTTGGACGGACCCTCTGTGGAATTAGGTTGCGTGCACTTGAGTAGAAGTGTAGGCACGGTAGGCATAAAAGACTGATGATACATCTTCGGTTGACTGGCCTCACCGCCAAGAGAGTAACGCAGATCCGGATTTGCGGAAGTAGAACTAGAACCAGCATGTGTTGGCTGCACCTGTGCATGATCAGAGTTGGAGTGGCCAGACAAGTCCGCGCCAGCCGGTTGATTAAGGTGCATAGGGAAAGCGAGAGGAATGTAGCCCAGTGAGGGAGATTGAGTCAAGGAGTGAGTTCTGAGACCACTGTTGACTTGCAGGGAAGAGGAAGAGCGGGAGGCAGAGCTTTTGGACAGAGGATGCAGAGGAAGAGAGAACGAGGTGCCAGGTTTCGCAATTTGAACGTAGGGTACCGCAAGCGCACTGTTAGGAAGCTCAGCAGCGGATTCAGAGCTAGGTGCCACAGTGTCTAGCTTTCTCTTGCGCTTCTCTCGATGTACGGGGTCTTGATAGACTTGAAGGAGCCGGTGGATGGAGCTGATACCTCCGAGACCCGTTTGAGCAGAGGCGAAGCCAGAGTGATCCGCTGCCGAGACGGTACTAGACATAGGTGCCGACTTTGGTGTCAATCTCTTCTTGCGTTCCGTGGTAGAGCCATCACCGCCGCTCTTCCCTTTGCGATGCCGACTGAGCCACTTTCGGATCCACCGGACGTCCCTGCATATATGGGAGCACCCGTTAATCACAGCATATGGTCTACTTCAAGCTCACGGGTAACCCACAGTCCAGTCTCTTTGCTAGTCTGCACGATCTCCTCCTTTGGCAAAGTCTCCCGCAGCAGAAGTCGGTGTAACACCGCGACTTGCCAAGGCGCCGCAACGACCTTGTCGCGCACCCGTACAGTCTCCCCGAGGAGGATGGTATCCGGGCGATCTTCGCTGGGGTCCATTTGCGTGACAATGAAAGCGGTTCTGTGTATGAGGTCTTGAGGTCCGCACAGCCAAGATGGAGGGGGAGATCAAGGAGGTGGTTGAGAATGAATGTGGAAGCGCGGAGCGTGAATCGTCTAATCTTGCTCTTCACTGTGATCCGCGAAGATCTACTATGTACGCGTGTGGGCGTGGGCAACTTGAGGCCCCCACGCACATGGCGAATATGAAGAGTTCATATACTGTGCTTGTTACATCGCAGGTACTGTACAGTAAACAGGTACGGAAACACTAATAATACATATGAAGAGACACAGTAAACAGTAAACCCTCTGAACATAAATCAAACACGTTTTCAACGGCGCAACCAATGGCCTATGGTCGCCTAACATCGCTACCATTTGCCCATGAGCCTACCAGCAGCCCACGCTGTGCCACCCCCGCCAACCGGCACTAACAGCATCCACACACCGAAGTCCCACACCAATCTCCGCACGAGGCGCCTCCGCTGCAGCGTGCGCTCTTTGCGCTGGAGAAGCTCGTCGCTGCGCGTCTCGCTCATATCAGAGCTTGCGCTTGGGAGGCCGGGACTGGAAAATGCAGTCGCGGGTGTGCTGGGAGGAATGATGATGGAGAGGGGGCTACGGAAGTTGTGGATGATGATGTGGAGAAGCGCAGGGAGCATATACGTGCTGAGGAAGGCGAGCAGCCAGACGGCATCGCTGAGGGCACGTGCGACAGAGGCCGGGACAAGCGAGAGCACAATGACAACAATGTAAACCAAGATCCGGGAGATAGGAAGGCGGGTAACGCGGCGGATGATAGAAGGTAGAGGAAGCGTAGGTGTCGGGATGAGAATATATGGTACGGAGAGCGCGAGCGTGGCTGCTTCGAAAAGAGCTCTGGCGACTGAGACCATTTCAGGCCCGGTCACTAGCGAGCCTGGGGACTGTAACGGATTGTCCTGTGACTTGGAGGCATAAGCATGTAATAGCTATATACACAAATTACTGTAACACTCACCGCTGGGACATTGACAGGTTGGAAGAAGATGAGGGGGAGCACGCAGACTACAGCTATCCCCACAGATAGAGCGGAGAGGAGTTTGAATGAATGAGATCGCCGCGGGCGAGGGCTCAAGGGTTCTGATGTACCACGCAGCGCCATATACAAGGATGTAGTAGAGGATGTAGTGAAGGCGAAGGCGATCGTCGCTGCAGACTATGAGACGGCAGTCGACACAGCCAGGAACATAGCGACTCACAAACACCTTGCCACATCGCACCTAAAGAGACGGGGGCTGTGCCACCAGCCAGTATGCCTTGAGAATGCGAGTAGGCTGTACATATGTACCATGCCGCGTAGGTAGCCAGGGATGCCCAGCTTGCGTAGAGAACGCGTGATACGGCCAGAGATCGCGCAAAGTACAACGGCGCGACGGTCAAGCCAAGCACAAGAGTGACCAAGAGACCAGTGGGTAGTCCGAGCGTTTGCGGTATTAATGGCTCAAAAACGTCAACCGATGCTAGGAAAGTAAATCAGCGAATCAGTCAACGAGCAATGCTGGGAAAGGAGATGGGATTCATGGCCTCGATGAAAGTATTATGTCCACAGTCGAGTGCACACGGGTCGACGAATCATGAATTTGCAGCAAATCATTGCGAATGTCTCCATTGGCTGGGTGACGCCACTACGCTTCCCACACTGCGCGGTGCATCATGACAATCCGCACGGTAATAACGGACTGTAACGGACGAGGATCGACCCGTTGAAACGTCACCCCACTCCAAGCAGTAACAGAATGCACCGCATGGCAGACCATGTAACACCCCGCGAACCAAAGCCCGCATGGCTTGATATAGTGACTTATTTTTGGAATCTCAACATGATGCTCACCTCGTATGTACATCGCCGCCATAAGCACTCGAAATACACCCGAAAGCAAGCGGACGAGCTGCCGGAGGGCCGACCTCCGTCCTTCCTTTCTTCGGTCCCGCGCGAATGTCTCGAGGACAATCTCCTCCAGATCCGCTCGCCGGACATACCTTGCGAGCATGTACCAGATTTGCCTCGTGAAGAGCGTCAAGGCAGCGAAGAAGAGCAACGCGGGTAGCACGACTTCCAGGGGAAGGCCAACGTTCGGGAGAAGGATCGCACCGAGTTTGAGGAAGGGTGAGAGCAGGTAGAGGAATACCGAGATCGACGAAAGCGGAGCGAACGCCGACGCTTGAATGCGGTCGACGCCGTCGTTGTCTTCCTCAGAGTCGTAGTCATCATCACTGGATATGCTGAATGGGGTACTAGTGGAAGGATCGTCGTTGTCTGGGACCAGGATGAGCGCCGTGGACGAGTCGAAGGCCTGGATGGGCGAGCTGCGCCCGGAGTCGTCGGAGCTGCTCGACGCGCGGCGACTACTGCTGGACATCGCTTCCAGGGCGTAGAGGGGCGTAAAGGAGCGTAGGAGGCAGAAGCCAGTCTGCGGGTGCAGACCCGAGCTATAACTGAGCGGGACGGTGCGAGTGATACGTTCGGGACGCTCCGCAGCCCGCTGAGGCAACAGGCGTTTGCTTCCCACGCCAACATGTCCTGCCTCTCTGCGCACCACTCTAAACGCACCCGCAGCCAGAGCGGACGCGAGTCCAACAACACCGTCGTTACAGGAGCAAATACAGAGAACGTCCAGATGCACATTGTCAGTGTACTAGTGTTACGAGTCCTACGAATAACAATACCCTACTTCGATGCGTCGGACTGCTTTGGTGCCTTGCCATCCTGGGCACGACGACGTCAGCATCTACATCGAGGGCTTCTGGTGTGGTCCTCACCTTGGACGTCTGGCGAGCATCACCGAGATCTGAAGGGGACTCATCCCTCTTTTTCTCTGAGGGCGTGTCCTTCTCGTCAGGCTTGGTCTCAGCCTCAGGGGCGCTGTCTGCCTCCTTGTCGTCCTTCGCCGGCTTCTCCTCAGATGCTTGTGCATCTACGGGTGAGTCTTCGTTCTGATTGCAGATGTGAGTGAGCGTTAGCATAGATTGTCGGACGGTCTTACGAAGCTCTGCTGCATCGACTCGTTCACCTCCTTGGCAGAGACGGTCACCCCCTCGGCATCAGTGAGCGAACCATCCACGGGCTGTGATGCACGTCAGACAACCATCCTTGCACATAACTGAATACACACCTTCTTTTCCTCCTCAGACGAGTTCACATCCTTCGAGTCGGTGCTTGCCTCCTCTGCTGGTGACGGCTCGGGCTGCTTGCTCTCCCCGGCGGTGTGCGCACTGTGGTCAGCGTGGCTGGAGGCTACGTCGCGCGTCTTCTTGTTTGACTGGGGCAAGAGCAGCCAGACAGCCTAGGGGTTACAGGGAGCAGTTTCAGCACTGTCTTATATTCTCGAGGCATACCACGAGCATACCGCAGGACCAAACACGACCGCAGAGCCAATCTGCAACAGTGTAGGTTAGGACCACGCAAATCATTGACACACAGGACACTTACGATCCATGGTGTATCACTGCTCTTTGCGGTGTGTCCACTGCTGCTCATCCCTCTTCTGCCCGTTGTCCGCGCTGCGCTGCGCACGCTTGGGCGAACAGCCCGCGCAAAAATGCGACCTCCAAGTCGTGAAGCCATTGGTGTTTCGAAACAAACCGAGTGGAATGAGCACAATTGCAAGGGGGATTCTGTTGACTGCAATAAGTTAGTTCGCCAGCTCAATGTCTCACAGTGCGTCGGACTCGGACAGTCCCGGTGAGCCCGATGGTTCCTCGGTGACGTCAACCCTATATCAGATTTCATTATCGACTGCAATAACTGCGTGTGATGGTGCGAATACCATTGCAATCACACAAGCCTGCCTAGCTCAATCGGATAGAGCGTGAGACTTTTACGGCAAAGGCTATTAATCTCAAGGCTGCGAGTTCGAGCCTCGCGGTGGGCTAATGGTTAACCTGCTTTTTTTTGTCTTTTCATCCCTTAGTCATGAACTACATCTCAAATCATACTTAACCCTCCATTTCAAAGGTCGTGTTTTGGGACTGCCTATGGGAGACTAGAGAAAGATCAGGGATGTGGCCATCCGCGCGGGAGACAAGGACACTTCGAGGCCGCAGTGCTTGCCGGAGAGTTTGACAAGATCAAGTGGTGAGCAGTTTTGTTGTTGCTCTTCTGTTTTGCTATATGTTACACTCCCCGCCTGTTCCATATTCCACATCTGCACGCCATTGTATTCTGTTGTCTTTGTGTGTGCTCAGTGCTATCTATATATTGTCGACTCACCTGATGTGCCTGTTCACTAGTTCACTCTCTATCCCATACACAGTCAGTATCCCTGGCAGCGTAGTGATTGTGATGGATGACAAAAAATCCCTATCATGATCAGTATCAGCCGAAAAGTTCAACTTCAAGTTGCCTTCCGCTCAGCCACACTTACCCCGACCATGGGAGAATGCACCCCGGGCCCGATACACTCAGCTAGCCTGTCTCCAAGTTGAGTATGTTTGAAAAAAGCTTACAGTGGCCTTTGCTGCGCTTGGAACAAGACCGTCAGAAAGGAACCATGACTTACCTCTGAGCAACAAGTGCATCGACTGCACGAACTTTGACAGAAGTTGAGCAAGCACTGCTACACAGGGACAACACTCACAGGAGAAGTCATCGAGGTAAGTGTATGATGCAGTGGTAGCTTACAGGTTGGAGACCAAAAGAAGAAGGCTACGTGAGGCTCAGGAGGCCAGGCACCTGCTGGCTCATACTGATGTCCGAGGTTTGTTGGACCGGTGGCAGTGCACTAGAAATGAGGGCCTTGGGTGCAAGGTGCCCAGCAAGTTTCTCAATACTTCCTGCATATGGATGATAAGGGCTACTCCACAAGGTATTCAGAGTAAAGATGCTCTGTCGAGGCTCCGGTGAATTGTCCTCCATTGACCTGACGCCTATCCACCTCCTCTTCATTTCACCTGCAGAACACGCTGGTGGCTGCATACACGCACAATTCCCCAAAGGCCGATACAGAAGCTTGCACCATTGCAAGCTGCTTGCTAACAGGATGGTGCCACCAAATTCCCCGCCAGGAACCTAGCCCTCAGGCCATTAATTCTCTGTCTGCAAGAATGACTAGCGCAGTGATGCTGCCAGTGAACAGTGTGCGTCAACACTGTCAGCCAGAGTCATGGGTGTCACTCGCCTGCAGGTAGTTGAATCAAGGTGTCCCATAGAATGGTTGAGGCTGCCTGGTACATTAAACACACCTCACGTGTTGCCCAATATGCTGTGGGCCCTGGTGTTCTATTGCAGAAATGAACATGGTGTGTTCCGCACTCTGTGATTGAGCATTTTTTTATCCACACATGGAACAAAGATACAGACACATTGCTGTGGGCTATTAGCAACTGTCAACTGGGCCTGCACAATACCCATCAAGCGTAGGCTTGGTACTCATGAGCCCTTCCTCTCTCCAGAGTGGAATGGTGCTGCCAGGATTTGTGAGATGTCGACAATAAACCTGGCCGCCCCACAACAATAAATATAGCACCCTCTGTCGGCCAGTTGGCAGAGGAGTGGTGGGTTCCACCGGTGGCAGCGCTGCAGCAAGGTGCATCTATCTCTGAATACATAGATACACCAGTGCGCACTCATTTCACATGCCACATAAAGCCTGCTGGGGATATATGTAGTATCAAGCAGTGAGTCACTCATGAAGACCGTTGCCCCCTCTTCTGGTTGGGGACATGTTGGTGGGTTCCAGACCCCAAAGTCAAAGGCTGCAACTACCCCAGGCTCTCATTGCTACTACATATCCCATCCTTCATTGTCTACATACTACATGTGCTAACTGTAAACTCGTCCAATCGAAAACCCGTGTTACGTCTGTCCGCTTTTCATTCCGCCACAATGTGGGTGATATCTGTCTCCATGACCTTGAGGATGGCCATTGGACTTCAGAAGATGCACCCTTGGAAAACGAGAACAAGCAACATGGAGCATGGTTTCGACTTGCCACTGCAGGCTGGTGTGTTCTCCTGATGATTCATGTACACTTATTATGTCCTCTCACCCTGTAGAAATTGCATCAAGACCCATGTTGGTTCCAAGAACGGAACCCTGAACTTTAGCTACTATTATTGATCAAGTTTCACACTCAAAAGCCCCAGCATGTTATAATCAATGTGTATCAAACTTTGCCACAGAAACCAAGTCCACTGGTGTGTCTTTGCTTGTTATGGTACAGTCTGTTGAACTTCTACTATTTCATACATTATCTAATCAGGCTCTCCTGATAAGGACTTATCCTGTGTTCTGCTACGCTACTATACATAGATTACATTCCTTTTGCTTCTTATCTATAGATAGCCTATACCGAGTTCCATTTGGCATTCCACTCGGTATCCATTTGGTACTCCATTCGGTATCGGGACTCTGCTCCTTTGTCATATGATATTGTCAGTTATCTATAGTTCTGTTTACCATCTTACTAACACTTACTCATGAAGCTTACAATGATGACTCACGACTCAGGCCTCACCTGATAGGCATACTGTACAATCAGATAATGCCTTCCTCTCATGTATATATACTGGGCTCAGATGCCCTTTAATGGAATCATTCCTTCCTCTGCTTTCCTGTCTGCCTAACAGGACTCCCTCTAGCAGCTTCCCTCATAGGTTCGTTCACTAGCCTTTACAGCCACTCCCTATCACTCCTTTCAACACATTCAGACCGACTCAGCCTTCCTACCATGGCCCTGCATGTGGAACCTTGGAGGGTATAGTTATCTGCTGTTATAAAGATCATGTACAACTCGCACCGTCTCGACACCAATGTCCATCTTCTGTGCCTCTTCTACGTCTCCTTCGGCGGGCACAGTATGTTGAACAATAGAGAGCACCTAATAAGGCAGCCGAGTTCACACACCGGCACTCCGGGTCACAGGAGTATCACATGCAATGTCGATAGATTCACATGCATTGTGATTGGTATTAGTCAGGTACTATACAGTAGCTTAGTCATACAGTCTCCTACATGTATATAAAGACCCCTGTAGCATAGCTCAATCCTAAGTTGCTCACTAGCAATTTTGTGTGCATCAAGCCTCACAGCAACCCAACCATGTAAGTTAGCATCCCACTACACTGTGTAGAAGTAGCCTGCTCATCAGGTTATGAGCCCTGGTCACTGTGCGGTACTGCACCCTTGAGGCTGCATCTGCTGCGGGCTAGACTGGCTTACCTGGATGTTGCCCTTAGGGGCTTTGACATCAGGGGGAGACTCTGCACCTACATGGCTGCGGGACAAGACCATTGCACCTATATGGCTGCAGGTCAAGCATGGCTTTGCCGTCGCTGTCCCCAACACTGAGTCCAGTGTGGTGCAAGCACTGTTCTGGCTGCATACGTTTGATCAGAGTGCTGATAATGTGTTCTCAGAACCATATCAACAAACCACTCTACAACCACCACCACCAACAAAATGTCGAACAACCTCCAGAACATCGTCCCCATCCTTGATGGTTCGAACTATCACCGCTGGGCTGAGCTGATGAAGGTTTACCTTCAGCAGCAGGGGGTCTGGCTTATCATCGACCTTCCCGAAGGCATCACAGAGCCATCTTTGGCTGCCAACGGCAGTAACTGAGGGGAAGTCATTGAATGGCACCAGATGCAGGCCAAGGCCATGGGCAGCATTTGATTGTGCCTAAGTGTCGAGGTCTCACGGGCTGTCAAAGACAAAAACTCCAGAAAGGCCCTTTGGCAGACACTTGCCACCCTCTATGGAGGAACTAGCGCCATGGGAGCATTCAGCTTTTTCAAGGCAGCTATCAACATCCGCATCCCAGCGAATGAGCACCCCAGCCCTGCGATCTTGAAGATCCAGGGCAACCTCGATGAGCTCAACAGAGCAGGTATTGCCATACCTCCTTCAATGAGGACACTCATAGTCCTCGGCGCCACCCCACCATGCTACAATGCAGCTGTTCAGCTCATCCTTGGGAAACATGAACTCAAGGATCTCATGGTGGCACTGGTGCAGGAAGCAGTAGTTGCTTCCTGGGAGCAATCAAAGAACAAGGGGCAGTCATCGGCCCCAAAGATCTCTGCCATTAAGCAGAAGAAGGGCAACCCATCCTTCTTGCAGCAGCAGCGTGGGTAAGAAGGATTGGGATGACAAGGGAAAGGGGAAGGCCAAGGGCTTCACCCCTTGGGGAAAGTGTGCCGGCAAAGGCCGTGGTAAGCCGCACAAACATGATCACAACAAAGTTGCAGACATGCACATCGCCAACACAGTCTCAATCCCTGCCCCGATGACCAGCACCATCATCAAGTTAGCACCTTCAGGCAGCAGGACTCAGAAAGTTGCAGCACCTGCTCCTAACAAGGGCAAGAAGCATGCCCATGATGATTGGCTCAGGCAAGCCCTACAGCTCGCAAAGGATCTCAATGTCTCCAGTACACTGGAGACTATCCGGATGTTAAAGGAAGTTGTGAGCACAGCTCACATCGATGAGGTCCCCTCAGACACCAAATTGTGCGCTTCTAAGCGCAGCAAGCATGGTGACGATGACATGGCCGATCACATCGATGAGGTCATGAACGATGAATACATCAGCGAGGATGATGACTTCTGAGATGTTTGTAGTCTGGGCATCTGACCCAGAAGACATCAACGACCATGATGCTGAACTAAACGGCATCATTGCACAGGCCACCAGCCTTGAACACCCAATAGTTGATCACAGCTTCTGTAACCCATTAATGGGAGAACTCTGCTGTATGGAGCCATACAATGGCTACGACGACTGGGGCAATGAGTATGTCACTCAGTTTCCTAACCCTGAGCGAGTAACTAATAGTGCTTTTACAGCTGCTTCTAACTCGCACAACGGCACTTGGACATTAGTAAATGTACTTAGTAGCAGCTTTAAAAATGTACAATGTATTCATT